AATGGCTGTAGCCAGCAATCTGCCTCTGAATGTAAACATTTTAGAAACATTTGATGATAATGACCTTATAAAATGGTATCACCTTTGGTTTTGGAGGTTACCCCAACTCTAAATTTTCCTTTGACTATATCCTTGTTTTCATTAACCAGTTGGGCAAGAAGTAACATCTGTTCTTGCATCTAGTTTGGTTTTCTTTTACGTTTGCATGTATTACTATCAGCCATGATTATTCTACTCTGTTAATTAAAAGGCTTGAGAAAACTCTTAGCTAAAACTTTTATTGCTATTTAGGAGAACTCTTAGTGGTAAGATAAAATGTTTTTTGAATACGGGCCCAGATCTCTGTATGTAGCACTATATGTTGTCAGACTCCTTGTGCAAACAAAAATCTCATTAGATTGTTACAATAAATGGCAAAATGAATGTTTGGAAATGTAAACTGATATTTCCTACGGACACACTTCAGCAAAAGATAGAAATAACTGACTTAAAGCCATTGTAGCTGGTGAAAATACTAGTGTTCTAATCATTTGGGCTATCACTGTATATAAATAAAAGTAAAGTCTGCAAATCTATCTATCTATCTATCTATCTATCTATCTATCGTGAAATAAAGAACAATGTGGTCCACCTTCAGAAGATTAACCGGACAAAATTTTCTTAACAGTTACTCCAATCAACACCGCAACATCACCTGCCCGCTACCCACTGTGGCTGAGGAACTGACTTAAAACCATTTTTTAGCTGGTGAAAATACTAGTGTTCTGATTTTGGCCACCACTGTATCTGACATACTTGTACTCAGTGAGCTCTCAACTAAAAACAAATATTATATTAATTTATAATAGCATTGTTCCAACAGCTATTTTAGTTCATTCCATTACCGCTAATTATTTGCCCTTCTTTCTCCACACAGAACCGGATGTGATCAGGGATCTTAATGTGACTGAAATCACAACATCATCTGTGTTTCTGACATGGAATGAACCAGCTGGAAATAGATCTTTCTTTCAAATTAACTGGACTGATGATAAAACATACAGCCATGTAACAACCAATAACCCATGGTATAACATCACTGATCTGACTGCTGGAGTCAATTACACATTTATCATCACAGCTGTTGCAGCAGATAAATCAACAGAAGGAGAATCAGTGGTTACCTCAAAATATACTAGTATGTTTTCCACTTAAATGTTTCCTGATTTACATACAGTATTAAATGACTGACGCCTTTCATATGTATAAATCTTTACTATAGTAAGGTTTCAGCATTCACATTTTAATTCCCAAATGTCTGTTATTTTTCACTCACAGAGCCTGACGTCATAATGAACCTCACAGCTGATGATATTACAACATCCTCTGTTTTACTAAACTGGACTAAACCGAATGGTCAAAGCTTCCGTTATCGTGTAGAATATGAAGATAAGAATGTGATGACTGAAAACACCTCCATCAAAATAAATAATCTGACTCCCGGAGCACAGTACACATTCAGAGTGTTTGCAGTTGCAGCTGATCATGTGACCGAGGGAAGAGCCAATCAGATTTCACTGTATACCAGTAAGAGCTCTGATTGGATGTTTAATCTGAATGAAGCCTCAGCCCCAAACCATCTCATAATTTCTTCCCTTGAGCAGAAAACTGTACAGCAACATCTTAAGCACTTACAAATGCTATAACTGCTTTATGAATTACTAATTGTATCAATGTTTTAACATGTTTTAACTCTACTTCTGCTGTGTGTGTGCACTTTGGATGGGATAAATGCAGAGCACTAATTCCTAGTATGGGTCACCATACTTGGCCACATGTCACGTCACTCACTCACTTCTTACCAGCACTTATGATTTCTCCTTCTCTCCCCTCACAGAGCCAGATGTAATCAGGAATTTCACTGTGTCTAAAATCACAACATCATCCATGTTTCTGACATGGGCTGAACCATTTGGAAATAGATCTTTCTTTAAACTTAACTGGACTGATGAGAATTTGGACTTGAACAGAAATGCAATGGAAACTAATAACACTTCCTATGACATCACTGATCTGACTGCTGGAGTCAATTACACATTCTGCATCACTGCTGTGGCAGCAGATCAATCAACAGAAGGAGAAACTGTCTGCATCTCAAACTACACCAGTATGTAAAACTATAAAATATCTGTTTTGTGCTACATAGTACGTTATCAGAATTATGCCTTTCTGCAACTCACAGTATACCAGTATGTAGAATTTTTAAATATCTGTTGTTTTCGATGTTCCCATCGAAAACTCCTGTTACACAATAAATTAGAATAATGGCGTGACTATCAATGAAACCTCCATCAAAATAAATAAAACAGATAATGTAATTTTTTAGATCTCAGTATTTACTAAAATGCCATCTAGATTCATTAAATGTTCTGATGGAGTTATTATAAACAATATAATCTTCATTCTTAAAAAAAAAAAAAATTGTATCTGTTTTGAGCTACATAGTACGTTATCAGAATTATGCCTTTCTGCAACTCACAGTATACCAGTATGTAGAATTTTTAAATATCTGTTGTTTTCGATGTTCCCATCGAAAACTCCTGTTACACAATAAATTAGAATAATGGCGTGACTATCAATGAAACCTCCATCAAAATAAATAAAACAGATAATGTAATTTTTTAGATCTCAGTATTTACTAAAATGCCATCTAGATTCATTAAATGTTCTGATGGAGTTATTATAAACAATATAATCTTCATTCTTAAAAAAAAAAAAAATTGATAGCCAAACTCTCTGTACCAGAATAAAGATGGAAAACTATTAATAAAAAAAATCACATATTATTAAAGGGGTCATATGATGTTGCTAAAAAGAACATTACTTTGTGTATTTGGTGTAATGAAATGTGTACTGTAAACTGCATTTGTGAAGTGCAGTTATAAATAAGCATCATGGTAGTATTCCTTTTCACTGAATTTGTTTACTGATTAAAAATAATCTGTCCAGAGAGGATTCATTCAAGTTTCATTACTGTATTAAAATGATGACTGAAATTTTTCACAGTATAGAAATGAGAATTGAGCAGGCAGATTTGATTAATTTTCCTGAAAACAATGTCATAAAGCAAGGAAAGTCTATTGTTATTATTAGTGATGCCTTTTCTGTGAAAGATGTGCACCTTGTATAATTTAGTACAGGTTCTGACCAGCATACTTTTTAATCTCCTCTTTTACCACCTTTTTCATTGACTTCTCTCTTCTCTACACAGGACCTAATGTGGTCAGCCTCGCAGTGTCTGAAATCACATCATCATCTGTGTTTATGACATGGGATGAACCAGTTGGAAATAGATCTTTCTTCAAAGTTCAGTGGGCTGATGATAAAACAGATGCAACTACTAATACTTCCTATCACATCACTGATCTGACTGCTGGAGTCAATTACACATTCTGCATCACTGCTGTGGCAGCAGATCAATCAACAAAAGGAGAAACTGTCTGCATCTCACAATTCACAAGTATGTAGAATAAAAAAAATCTAACTTTCTTGCTATATACAGTAGTAGTAACTATGTAAAACTATAAAATGTCTGTTTTGTGCTACAAAGTATAAGAATGATTCACATGTCCTCATTGTATGTATTTATATTTCACTTGTGTTCTGATTGTTAAAAGAAGAAAAGAAACGAAACAAAAAAACTCAACATTTGTGAATCTCCATACAAAGCTCATATTGAAGATTAAAAATCAAAACACTGCTTTAACATTTGCCAGTCTATTGTTTTCTTTAAACTTCACTGGACTGATGAGAAAACAAACAGAAATTCAACTGAAACTAGTAACACTTCCTATAACATCCCTGATCTGACTGCTGGAGTCAGTTACACATTCTGCATCACTGCTGTGGCAGCAGATAAATCAACAGAAGGAGAAACTGTCTGCATCTCAAACTACACCAGTATGTAATATTATGAATTATCTGTCATCTTCCTTTTTTATATATACTGTAGTTGTAAGGATGCAAAAGTGATTATTGCAACTATATTTAATCTCAGACAGTACAGTATGCTGAGTTTTAGATAAGGGATGAACTTGAAATATCAGATAGATATAAAATGTGTAATGTTGTTAATTAATATTAGTGGAATTTTGTCATGATTTATTGAAGAAGGTGAACTCATCTGAGATGGCAATTTGCAATACCACACATTTAAAAAAGACAAAGAAAGGAAGAATGTACCCAGGGTATGAATTAGGTGGCTGGGAGCCTACAAATTACCTCAACTGGAACAATATGTATCATTATATAAAGTAACATACACATAAAAAAAATGAATATGCAGCATTCCCAGCATAATCAAAAATTTAGGGGTAATGTTAAATAGCAATTATGATATTAAATATAATACAAAAGGTGTGCTCTTAATTATGTGAAGATATCAAAAATATAAATAACACTTTAAACAGTATAGCCAGAGATGAATAGTATTTTCATATTTATTGCCATCAGTGTTAGAAATTAACTTTCCCATAGGGAAATGTTTCCCCTTCAAATTGATTTCCAGGGGCACTTTTAATCTTTATATAGGGCCTTTATATTTTTTCTAACCTTTTTAAAATGTCTGTCATCTTTAATGTTAAATTCTTAAATTTAGTTTAAGAATTTAATGATTTAGTTAATTAAATTAGAATAATAAGACACAATAGGCTGTTAAACCATCTTTGCAATGAAGAGCTGGCACTGAAGCTCCATCTGAAGTTACTTTAATCATAATTGTATAATTCATATAGCTGTTGTAATTTATTTTACCACCACTACATATAATTTACTTTTCTTTCCCCACACAGAGCCAGGTGTGATCAGGAATCTCACTGTAAACAACATCACAACATCATCTGTGTTTCTGACATGGAATGAACCAGGTGGAAATAGAGATTTCTTTAAAATTCAATGGACTGATGAGAAAATAAACAGAAATTCAACTACTAACACTTCCTATAACATCAGTGATCTGACTGCTGGAGTCAATTACACATTCTGCATCACTGCTGTGGCAGCAGATCAGTCAACAGAAGGAAAAAGTGTCTGCATCTCGCAATATACCAGTATGTAAAATTATAAAATATATTTTTCTTGCTAAATAGTATGTTGACAATACTAATTGACTTCTGACCAGAGGTGGGTAATAACTACACTTACTCCATTATGTTTACTTTAGTAACTTTTTGGAAGATGTGTACTTTTAATAGTATATTTATAGGTCTGTACTTTAACTCAAGCACATTCACACAGTTACATTGGGTGACGTTCCTCTTGGTGCTTTATTTTATTGCAATATATGTTAAGAAATGTCTAGTTTATTCCAAACACACTCTCTATTTACTGGGGAATGAGTGATGCTGCATGCTTCAATGATTCACTCTTGTGAGTCAATTTTGTTCGAAGACTTAAACAATTGGCTAAACAGTCTGAAATTGTTCACAGATTAGTTTGAAATATGCATTCAGTTCCCTGCATGCACTGAATCATCTGAAGCGGTCTCTCACTTGTAACAGGACATTTAATAACACGTAGAACATAAAGAGCATTGGATGAAGCGGACATAAACCTACAGTCAGTCAATTGAAACAATTTGCAAATGCATCTTGTTTGCCAGTATCGAAGATCTTTATTAGTTAAACACGTGTGTGCAGTCTGTGAACTATTCCATACTAATGGTAATACATTTTACAACCAAACAGAATGTTACACTAAAAGAACACAAAACCACTACTACAAAGTATGACATTACCAGTTTTATGACATACACCATTATGTATACATTACATAAGCTACAGCGTATGCAATGAACACTCACCAACCTGCGGCCTGTTTGTCTTGAAAAGAAAAGCCTTTGCTTAGACAGAGTTACACATGCTTTCAGAAATATAAATTTGATCACATTTAAAACAACAGATGGAAGATCCGTCAATGTGAATTTGATTTTTTTTGTTTACATTCAGATGTTCAGTAGCAGTCATGAGCATGAGTACTTCTCACAACTCGCACGTGAAGAGTTTTTGCTCATTCATCTCTGTCAGTACTATGAAAACAGTTTTCTAGCAAGACCATTTCGTAGATGTGAACACTGCAGATGTCCTCAGACCTGAGTTTAGTTCGCCTTGCGTCTAAGTTGTTGTTCCCTTTACATACATTTGAATGCAAAACTCTGTGCATTTACTTTATTTTGACATTATCTTGATTAAATGATGTGGGGGGAGGGGGTAAATTATGTTTTAAATATAAAACTAAAATGGCCAGTAAGTGGTGGCAAATCACTTTGTTAATGAATGAGTCATGGAATCATTTGATTCGTTCAAGAGGACTGATTCATTAAGGAATGAAGCAAGTAATTTTATGAATGCAATTGAATCATTCGCTCGGCCGGGACCAGGAAACAAACAGCACTGTGTTGCTCACAGACACGCAACTCTTCTGCTGGGTATTTATTTTGAACATAGTGGTTATTTGCACCAAGTTCAAATAGCAATAGATGCTACTTACACTATGTGCAAACAGCCATAGATTCTATTTACACTATATAAAAATAAAAGTGTTTTGTTAGCGATATGTTATTTACACTATACAAGAGCAAATAACGATAGCGATTCTATTTGCACTATTTAAAAAGTATTATTTTATTTGCAGTAAGTGCAGTAGAAGATGCTGTATTTATAATTATTGCAAATAGTAGTGGATACTTGCACCTCAGTGTTGTAGTAGTCTACATTATAAAACAGTATGAGATGATAACATATTGAGTGTAGATTATAATCTTTATTAAAATTATTAATGGATGTCGCTTGGGTCAATAAAGCCCTACCTACTCCTAACCCTACTACTATACCCTATAAACACTAAATATATGTGAGGTACTTTATTGAAAATAAACGCCTTTCCGATCTGATATGTGATGAGAAAAGGGAAAAGAATGTGAGTTGAATGAGTTTGGAAAAAGGCGGATTCAAACTTGCGTCGAACGCTTTAGAAGTTATTATCACGAGTCTCCCTACGCCACTGCTACCATTGTTGAATATGCGTCTTTTGTATTGATGTCTATTGCAAGCAGACATATGTGGGTGCAGCTACTGTACTCTAAATAGCCTCTGCCAACAAGGTGGGCTAATTGCACTTAAAAGACACTCCATATTTGGAACTTTTTTTGTTGGTGATATAGAGCAAATCAGAAATACTGTCCTTTAATGTAAGTCACTTAATATTAACTTCTTGTATTTGAATTGCATAAAATCAGTTATCACATTTGCAGTCGTGCTAACATTCGGGAAAACAGCACACTTCTTGATTGAAATTGCTTAACTATACCAATGTTATAATTACAAAAAAAAAAAAAAAAAACAAGAACTCATACAGAGAAATGTCACTAGCTCTGTGTGAAAAAAAACTTTACAATAAGATGCTTTTTCAAGATTAGATGTTCCATTGAAGCTGAGAGAAGTTTTGTTGCAGGAAACAAAATTGCACTGCACTGTCATGTTACGACCTTTTCCACATTTGTCAGTAAAATTGTCTTTGTATTACCTTGACAAAAACACATTATGCGCTTGGCTGCCTGATTTTTTTTTCCTGAATTTTTGTGAGTCTTGACTAGCGTCTTAATCCTGCCGGTTGCTATTTGAACAGGCTGCACACATTTTTTTAAAGAGTCAGAGAATCACCAGTTGCCTCATTGGTTAAAAAATTCCAAACATTATACATTAATATAAAAATGAAATAAATTACATTTAAATTCAAAGTAGTCACTTTAGTAATCTAAAATACTTTTCAGATGTAACTGTTATTTGATTACCACCAATTTAAAAGGTAATTATAACGAAATACAGTTACTCATATTTTGTGTTTTAAATACGTAATGATGTTACGTGTATTTCGTTAATCCCCAACCCCAAATATTAGTGCTAGTGATGTTACGTTCGTGAACGAATCGTTATTTTTGAACAAATCTTTTAGGTGAATGAATCGTTCTCATTCACGTAATCCATTGACTCATAGCAGCGCGGCGCCATTAGCAGCGCATGCGCAGATCAGTGAACCGGGTAGCTCTGTGAACTTTTTCATCCTGTCAAAGAATGATTAAACCTCGAGCCAATAGCCTTCGAGTATGAGATGTGACGGAGCATGTGATTTGTTGAATGTAGTGGACGAATACGCCCTCCACTCAACGAGTTTCTTTTGAGTCTGAACGAGATCGAGGGATCTTCTCGTTCGTGAACGAAATGACCGAACTGATACATGTCATTTGTGAATGAGTTGAATGAACTGGTACATGTCGTTCGTGAACGAGTTCAATGAACTGGTACATCTCGTTCGTGAACAAAATGACCAAACTGGTACATGTCGTTCGTGAACGAGTTCAATGAACTGGTACATCTCGTTCGTGAACAAAATGACCAAACTGGTACATGTCATTCGTGAAGGAGTTGAATGAACTGGTACATATCTCATTCGTGAACGAAATGAATGAGAGTGTACCGGGTCAGTCGGCCATTTAGCATGTGAGTCAATCTTGATCAGCAATCAGCAGAAAGCAGATGCAAAGCGCAGTTATAGGTACTGTGCACATACGTTTGTTTATATATTCATAGTTAGCATACAAAACATAACTCCAAGTTTAATCCCCGATTTATGAATGTGTAAATGTCTGACCAAACAATTAAAATGTTAATTATACTTTGGTCATCTGAACAACTTTAGACTTTATTTATTTAATGAGTCGATTATGCACACATTTTAATAAAGTCAAATCAGTTTTTTGTAATAAGTAAATACGTTCGTTGACATAAGACACCTGCTGGTGTATTTATGTAATATGAAGATATGGTCACTAAACGAATCAGTGAACGAATCTGAACTAATCATTTTGGTGAATGAACTATAGTATAAGTTAGATGCCAAGTATATATTTATTTTCTTTTAAGATTAATTTATGACTCTGGATAATCTGAATTTTTAGTTTAGAGAAAAATATAGATGATAGAGATCATGATTCCCCCATTAGACAAACAAACAAGGTAATATGGGCTAGTATAGGTTTTGTTCTATTAATGTTGTTTAATGTTATAAATGAGTCTATTTATAAATGTCCAAAATGTTATGAGTCTATTAAAATAGACTAGAAAATCTGGGGTTAACATCATCTTGGTTTCTGACATGGGATGAACCAGTTGGAAATAGATATTTTTTTAAACTTCAGTGGACTGATGATAAAACAAACAGAAATCCAACAACTACTAACACTTCTTATCACATCACTGGTCTGACTGCTGGAGTCAGTTACACATTCTGCATCATTGTTGTGGCAGCAGATAAATCAACAGAAGGCGATGCTTTCTGCATCTCACAATTTACTAGTATGTAACATTATAAAATATCTGGTCTTTTATATATATTTTAAGGGGGTCATATGATGCGATTTCAAGTTTTCTTTTGTCTTTGAAGTGTTACAAGCTGTTTGTGCATATATAAGATCCTTAAAGTTGCAAAGACTAAAGTCTCAAACCCAAAGAGATATTCTTTATAAAAGTTGACTTCCTAAAACGCCTCAAACACGCCCCCACAAATCTACGTCACTGTGTTGGAAGATTTGCAAAACACCGCCCAGATGTTTACGCAAAGAAAGAAGGCATAACTTTTTACTCTTGCTGTAGTATTGTTGCCGCCGCCACCATGTCGTGGAGATGCTGTGTTTCCTAAAATGGTAAGGGGCGTAACATTTCTGTCACACACTTGAGGTATTCGGCCAATCACAACGCACTGGATAGCTGGCCAATCAGAGCACACTGCGCTTTTAAGAACGATGAGCTTTGTAAAAATCGATGCATTTCAGAAAGGAGTGGCACAGAGGGGCAACAATAATGTACGGTATGTAGAAAATAGTGTGTTTTTGAACCTTGAACTGCGTAAATACATTGCATTACACCAAATACACAAAATAATGTTATTTTTAGCATCGTCATATGACCCCTTTAAACTCCTGAAAGTTGACAAAACAAACTACAAATGGATCATATATTCCCATACGCAACTGTGTGAACAAGATATATATCGTCCTTTGTGTTTATTTTTAGATTTACATTTATGACTTGACCTTCTCTCCCCTCACAGAGCCAGATGTAAGATGTAATCACACAGTGTCTAAAATCACAACATCATCCATGTTTCTGACATGGGCTGAACCATTTGGAAATAGATCTTTCTTTAAACTTAACTGGACTGATGAGAATTTGGACTTGAACAGAAATGCAATAGAAACTAATAACACTTCCTATCACATCACTGATCTGACTGCTGGAGTCAATTACACATTCTGCATCACTGCTGTGGCAGCAGATAAATCAACAGAAGGAGAAACTGTCTGCATCTCAAACTACACCAGTATGTAAAACTATAAAATATCTGTTTTGTGCTACATAGTACGTTATCAGAATTATGCCTTTCACCTGTTTTAGTCTGTTATTCATTTGTCCCACCAGTTCACATTTCCCCCATATGTATTTATATTTCACTTGTGTCCTGATTGTTAAGAAAAAGAAAATAAAAGAAATTGACATTTGTGAATTGCTCTTCTCTCCTGTACACAGAGCCAAATGTGATCAAGAATCTTGTGTCTGAAATCACAACATCATCTGTGTTTCTGACATGGGATGAACCAGTTGGAAATAAATCTTTCTTTAAAGTTCAGTGGGCTGATGATAAAACAGATGCAACTACTAACACTTCCTATCACATCACTGGTCTGACTGCTGGAGTCAATTACACATTCTGCATCACTGCTGTGGCAGCAGATAAATCAACAGAAGGAGAAACTGTCTGCATCTCAAACTACACCAGTATGTAAAACTATAAAATATCTGTTTTGTGCTACATAGTACGTTATCAGAATTATGCCTTTCACCTGTTTTAGTCTGTTATTCATTTGTCCCACCAGTTCACATTTCCCCCATATGTATTTATATTTCACTTGTGTCCTGATTGTTAAGAAAAAGAAAATAAAAGAAATTGACATTTGTGAATTGCTCTTCTCTCCTGTACACAGAGCCAAATGTGATCAAGAATCTTGTGTCTGAAATCACAACATCATCTGTGTTTCTGACATGGGATGAACCAGTTGGAAATAAATCTTTCTTTAAAGTTCAGTGGGCTGATGATAAAACAGATGCAACTACTAACACTTCCTATCACATCACTGGTCTGACTGCTGGAGTCAATTACACATTCTGCATCACTGCTGTGGCAGCAGATAAATCAACAGAAGGAGAAACTGTCTGCATCTCAAACTACACCAGTATGTAAAACTATAAAATATCTGTTTTGTGCTACATAGTACGTTATCAGAATTATGCCTTTCACCTTTTTTAGTCTGTTATTCATTTGTCCCACCAGTTCACATTTCCCCCATATGTATTTATATTTCACTTGTGTCCTGATTGTTAAGAAAAAGAAAATAAAAGAAATTGACATTTGTGAATTGCTCTTCTCTCCTGTACACAGAGCCAAATGTGATCAAGAATCTTGTGTCTGAAATCACAACATCATCTGTGTTTCTGACATGGGATGAACCAGTTGGAAATAAATCTTTCTTTAAAGTTCAGTGGGCTGATGATAAAACAGATGCAACTACTAACACTTCCTATCACATCACTGGTCTGACTGCTGGAGTCAATTACACATTCTGCATCACTGCTGTGGCAGCAGATAAATCAACAGAAGGAGAAACTGTCTGCATCTCAAACTACACCAGTATGTAAAACTATAAAATATCTGTTTTGTGCTACATAGTACGTTATCAGAATTATGCCTTTCACCTTTTTTAGTCTGTTATTCATTTGTCCCACCAGTTCACATTTCCCCCATATGTATTTATATTTCACTTGTGTCCTGATTGTTAAGAAAAAGAAAATAAAAGAAATTGACATTTGTGAATTGCTCTTCTCTCCTGTACACAGAGCCAAATGTGATCAAGAATCTTGTGTCTGAAATCACAACATCATCTGTGTTTCTGACATGGGATGAACCAGTTGGAAATAAATCTTTCTTTAAAGTTCAGTGGGCTGATGATAAAACAGATGCAACTACTAACACTTCCTATCACATCACTGGTCTGACTGCTGGAGTCAATTACACATTCTGCATCACTGCTGTGGCAGCAGATAAATCAACAGAAGGAGAAACTGTCTGCATCTCAAACTACACCAGTATGTAAAACTATAAAATATCTGTTTTGTGCTACATAGTACGTTATCAGAATTATGCCTTTCACCTTTTTTAGTCTGTTATTCATTTGTCCCACCAGTTCACATTTCCCCCATATGTATTTATATTTCACTTGTGTCCTGATTGTTAAGAAAAAGAAAATAAAAGAAATTGACATTTGTGAATTGCTCTTCTCTCCTGTACACAGAGCCAAATGTGATCAAGAATCTTGTGTCTGAAATCACAACATCATCTGTGTTTCTGACATGGGATGAACCAGTTGGAAATAAATCTTTCTTTAAAGTTCAGTGGGCTGATGATAAAACAGATGCAACTACTAACACTTCCTATCACATCACTGGTCTGACTGCTGGAGTCAATTACACATTCTGCATCACTGCTGTGGCAGCAGATAAATCAACAGAAGGAGAAACTGTCTGCATCTCAAACTACACCAGTATGTAAAACTATAAAATATCTGTTTTGTGCTACATAGTACGTTATCAGAATTATGCCTTTCACCTTTTTTAGTCTGTTATTCATTTGTCCCACCAGTTCACATTTCCCCCATATGTATTTATATTTCACTTGTGTCCTGATTGTTAAGAAAAAGAAAATAAAAGAAATTGACATTTGTGAATTGCTCTTCTCTCCTGTACACAGAGCCAAATGTGATCAAGAATCTTGTGTCTGAAATCACAACATCATCTGTGTTTCTGACATGGGATGAACCAGTTGGAAATAAATCTTTCTTTAAAGTTCAGTGGGCTGATGATAAAACAGATGCAACTACTAACACTTCCTATCACATCACTGGTCTGACTGCTGGAGTCAATTACACATTCTGCATCACTGCTGTGGCAGCAGATAAATCAACAGAAGGAGAAACTGTCTGCATCTCAAACTACACCAGTATGTAAAACTATAAAATATCTGTTTTGTGCTACATAGTACGTTATCAGAATTATGCCTTTCACCTTTTTTAGTCTGTTATTCATTTGTCCCACCAGTTCACATTTCCCCCATATGTATTTATATTTCACTTGTGTCCTGATTGTTAAGAAAAAGAAAATAAAAGAAATTGACATTTGTGAATTGCTCTTCTCTCCTGTACACAGAGCCAAATGTGATCAAGAATCTTGTGTCTGAAATCACAACATCATCTGTGTTTCTGACATGGGATGAACCAGTTGGAAATAAATCTTTCTTTAAAGTTCAGTGGGCTGATGATAAAACAGATGCAACTACTAACACTTCCTATCACATCACTGGTCTGACTGCTGGAGTCAATTACACATTCTGCATCACTGCTGTGGCAGCAGATAAATCAACAGAAGGAGAAACTGTCTGCATCTCAAACTACACCAGTATGTAAAACTATAAAATATCTGTTTTGTGCTACATAGTACGTTATCAGAATTATGCCTTTCACCTTTTTTAGTCTGTTATTCATTTGTCCCACCAGTTCACATTTCCCCCATATGTATTTATATTTCACTTGTGTCCTGATTGTTAAGAAAAAGAAAATAAAAGAAATTGACATTTGTGAATTGCTCTTCTCTCCTGTACACAGAGCCAAATGTGATCAAGAATCTTGTGTCTGAAATCACAACATCATCTGTGTTTCTGACATGGGATGAACCAGTTGGAAATAAATCTTTCTTTAAAGTTCAGTGGGCTGATGATAAAACAGATGCAACTACTAACACTTCCTATCACATCACTGGTCTGACTGCTGGAGTCAATTACACATTCTGCATCACTGCTGTGGCAGCAGATAAATCAACAGAAGGAGAAACTGTCTGCATCTCAAACTACACCAGTATGTAAAACTATAAAATATCTGTTTTGTGCTACATAGTACGTTATCAGAATTATGCCTTTCACCTTTTTTAGTCTGTTATTCATTTGTCCCACCAGTTCACATTTCCCCCATATGTATTTATTTTAGCATCGTCATATGACCCCTTTACATTAATTGTCTGACCCACCAATATTTTCTAGTAATTTATAAAAGCAATGTAAAGTTATGTACTCAAGTTACAGTGTAAACATCAGTCTATTACTTATTGATTTGTCCCACCAGTTCACGTTTCCTCCTATATGTTTATACTTTGTGTCCTTTGTGTTTTATTTTTATTTTTAGATTTACATTTATGACTTGACCTTCTCTCCCCTCACAGAGCCAGATGTAATCAGGAATTTCACAGTGTCTAAAATCACAACATCATCCATGTTTCTGACATGGGCTGAACCATTTGGAAATAGATCTTTCTTTAAACTTAACTGGACTGATGAGAATTTGGACTTGAACAGAAATGCAATGGAAACTAATAACACTTCCTATGACATCACTGATCTGACTGCTGGAGTCAATTACACATTCTGCATCACTGCTGTGGCAGCAGATCAATCAACAGAAGGAGAAACTGTCTGCATTTCACAATTTACCAGTATGCAAACTTATAAAGTACATGTTTCATACTACACATCTAATAATCCAAAAATGAGAAAAGACAATGAAATGAACAGAACTGGGTGTATAACTACAAAGGGCAAATGAGGGGGAAAAACAAGGAACAGTCAGGGCTAATCAATTAAGAAATTAGTAACAAACAAATGAGAACATTCTTAGAAACCTTGAAACCAAAGCAGGTACAAAAATACATGGAAGTGGACACCGGGATCAACGGAATGAGAAAACCTGAAAATTAAGAGTCTCTTAACTCAAAATAGGAATAAACATTATATTGATTTCTGACCCACCAATATTTTTTTTTCAAGTAATTTGTAAAAGCACTAGAGTTATTCCCATTTCAAGCACACTTTTATGCTGTTTTTTTTAATTTTTAGTAGAAATATCATACAAAGCTTATGTTAAACAATAAATATCAAAATACTGCCTTACCCCTGCCAGTCTATTGTTCGTTAATTTGGCCCACCAGTTCATGTTTCATCCTTTATGTATTTCTTCTTTGCTTGTGTCTTGTGTGATGGTTTTTTCAAATCATCAATTATGACTTGCCCTTCTCTCCCCACACAGAACCAGATGTGATCAGGAATCTCAGAGTGAACAATTTCACAACATCATCTGTGTTTCTGAGATGGGATGAACCAGTTGGAAATAAATCTTTCTTTAAAGTTCAGTGGGCTGATGATAAAACAGATGCAACTACTAATACTTCCTATAACATCACTGGTCTGACTGCTGGAGTCAGTTACACATTCTGCATCACTGCTGTGGCAGCAAATCAATCAACAGAAGGAGAAACTGTCTGTATCTCACAATTCACTAGTATGTAGAATTAAAACAATGATTTCTTGCTATATAGTAGTAACCATGTAAAACTATAAAATGTCTGTTTTGTGCTACAAAGTATGTTATAAGAATGATTCACATTTACTCCTGTGTGTATTTATATTTCACTTGTATCCTGATTGTTAAAAACAGAAAAAAAGAAAAACTTGACATCTGGAATCTCCATACAAAGCTCACGTTAAAGTAGTAGTTAAAATACTGCCTTCCCCCTTGTCAGTCTATTGTTTGTTAATTTGGCCCACCAGTTCACGTTTCATCCTTTAAGTGTTTCTACTTTGCTTGTGTCTTGTGGTTTTTTCAAATCATCAATTATGACTTCACTGTAAAAAAGAAAAAAAAATCCATAAAATTTACGGTAAAATACGGCAGCTATGGTTGCCAGAATTTTACTGTAAAAATTATGGTAGCAACATTTCAGTTTTTACGGGATTGAATGTAAATTTACATTAAAAATGGTATAATTCATTTACTGATATAATGTTAATTGTCACGTCGATGAATTTAGAGACAATGAAGCATGGGATCCAATTTCAAGCAGTTTATTAGAATGTAACAAAACACAAAACCAACTCAGCAATCAGGACACATATAGAAGGTCAGTCACATAAACACTAAACACCATCATGGTAACACACATGAAAATGAAACAATGCAATAAATGCAATAATAACAACATTAGGTGTAACACACAACCATAATATACAAAACTGATAAGAAAAAACTAAGAAGAAACATAGTTATTTCAACAAAAAACATCAAATTTGAAATGTAACACAGGGAATTCTGGGAATGTCAATTTACGGTTATTCACTGTAAATTA